GGGCTGTGGTAATCACTGGAGTGGGCGGTAGAGTGCTTTTACCCATAAAATTCCATATGCGTGTACGAGAAGGCGTTAGCACACTGCACTACTGTTGTTCCTCTTGGTCCTTTGCTGTAGTTGCTGCAATTGAGGCCAAGCTGCCAACGATTATTTAGTTTGCGGCTGTTGGATTGCCTCGAGCAACTTCAAATCGAAATAGAGTGCATGCTGATGTTTGCGTTGTACAATCCCAACAAACGTGGATTTAAGGCCGATAGTGGTGAGCCAACTATTTCTTGTCTTTCTAGCAGTTTCTGAAGAGTCGGTGACATCAAATGAAGCATCGGAAAGGATCGCGCTCCCACAATTCTTCACATGGAGCCACGAGGTTCGTCACCGCGTTGAGTTGACATGGGACGTTGCAAGCTTGGGTCAACACACCGCTGACATACTTGTACTGAATGCAATTGGTACGTCTTACCTCTCCATCGGAGTGAAATACGCCAATTCTGAAAACGGAGCCATCATGCTTGGTGGACCAAGATCCGCTTCCACGTACGATATGTTTGTGGATGGAATAGAAGGAAAGGGCAACATGTTCGGCTTCAGTAAAACTGTCACAACACCATTCAGTGGTAGGTGAATTTCTTTCGGTCCTATGGTGCTATTTTCAACGAAATTTGCTTGGCGCATTTCACCTCACAAACATTAATTCTTGTGAAAAACATGCGGATAGAAGCTAGGAAGTGACGCTTCGTCCGTCGCGGTTATCACCTGCTTTGGGTGCATGCGACCATAACTAAACATCCGTTCTGAGCAGCGATGGAAGGACGTCCCACCGCACCTACCACAGCCTCCCAAAACACGGCGTGTGCGCCCACGGCAAATAGTTGCGCACCTCCGGCCATCACCACCCATCACATGCCATTATGGTAACAACATTTGTCCTCCATAGGCTGCTGTGGGTCAGGACCTCCAACGGCTGCCGCTCATTACTACATTATGCCCACCTCCCTTCACCTTTAATGACTCCCAAATCATGAACATACCATTTACTACATCCCCTTTCTGGATAACTA